TCTGGGGTTATGTGAACAGTCACACTGCTAGAATACCCTAAAGGCCCGTCAAATCCATCTACGAAAATTCTAACTATAGAAACTGAAATAGCCTTCTCTCTTATATGGCATTTTAGCTTCACAGAATAGTGCCAAAAGCATACAATGGGAGTACCGTTATACTCCGCAGATGTAGCTGAACAATAGCACACACCAGCTTTACGATATACACATTACAAAAACCTTGTTATATGTGTATATGCCAAAACAGAGAAAAAACAAAAATTTTACTCCAATATTTAGCAGAGATTGGCGATGAAATGTCTACGTAAAAAGTGTCAAACTAACCTTAGGTAAATAGCCTGTGATCTCTACTTTATATAAATATATACTTTCATGTGGCAAATTTGTTTTCTGTTATGGCTACTAAACCTACAAGGCAAACATACCAAATCTAAAATAGTTTTACATGAAAATTTTATTTTAGTTCTTGTATTTTGTGAACTTTCAAAATAAGCTGAAATCCTATACATATTATGTACTCTATAAATCAAGACACATAAATGAATTTATTTTGAATTACTTTTTCTAAGCTGGATATATTATACCCACGCTATTATTGCCAAAACTGTAAAGAAAAAAAAAGGGATTTTTTTTTTTTTTATAATTAATGAGAATGTATCTATGTATATGTGACATAAAATTAAAGCCCTGTTTTCCCTCTAAAAGACGATGTATAATATGTGTTGGTGCAATAAATTACAGAGATGCAAATTGCGTTTGAACACAAACAGCAAAAAATGCAAACATGGCTTGTGTCCTTAAGGATAAGACAAGCTTTTGAAGCTGTGTCCTTAAGGGGGTACTTTTATGTAATGTTTGAATGAAGTAGCATTTTAATGCAGGGTTGTGTTTCTAATGTTTGTGTTTGATTGTAAGGGTGTGTTTGTATGTAGTGTTGGCGTTTAATTGATATGATGTATGCACATATACATTGCCACATACATACCTGCTTAAACAGATACACACACACACAGCTCCTTCATTAGGTAACTTTAAATATGGCAATCCCACAATGGTAGTTTAGGGAGTTATCTACTAAATGGCAGCGAGATGCAGCTGCGCCCCGCATCAAAGTTTCTGAATAAAATTTAGATGTGAACATAATGGCCGAATTTTGTTAGAGAAATTCATTTCAGATGAAACTATTTTTTTTTTTTTTTGCAATCTGAATGTATTTGGACAAAACTAAAAATGTTGTGGTGCCCAAGGCTAACTGGATTAAGAAACTGTGGCATAATCTGGCAGAAAAAGACAATGACTTTATGTAACTGCCAGTGCTTAGAAGATGGTGCCGCCACGAACAATATCGAAATTATAGGTAAAGGGTGGTGATTGTGGAGCAAAAAAAATATGGAAAGGGGAAAGTTAGGGGTTGAAAAGTAAGGGAGGGGGGAGAGGTTTTAAAAAAAAAAAAAAAAAAAGTTGATTTGTAACAGAGCTGTGTGTGTCTGAGGTTTTGGCCTCCTATTCATGCTGTTCACCTTAGCCATTCTTCTCCTTTCCCCAAAAAATGTTTTACTGATTGGAAGGTAAGCATTCACAATGTAATGCAGTCAATGAGAAATCAGTGCAAACTGAGCTGTTACTCTGACATTGCCCTACAGCAAATCACTGACCTCGAGGGCAATTACTGGGGGCTAAGTCATGTCAGCAGCTCCACTCGAACTGATCTCTCATTGGCTGAGATGAGGTACTGGACTGATATTTTTTACAAATATATAATATATCAACTTCCCTATGACATTTCTGTGTGTGCTGCTAATACCTACTTATTATTATTATTATTATTAGTGCCCCCATCAACCCACTGCTACAGTTGCCAAGTTGGTAGCATACATTGATCATTGTTTGTGTACAGAAATCGTTATTACCGATATGAAAAGCTAAAAATACACTGTGCAATTTGCTGCTCACCAATTACACGTTGAATCATTTGCCAGACTGTTCCATTAAATTATCTGAATATTACATGGCTCCATCGGCAGAGGAATACAATTATATGTATATAAATGACCAAGGAAGGTAATTGCAAAAATTAAAATGTATATATTCAATTACACAAGCGGATTATTGTTTAAACACAAAGAAAGGAAATGCAATTGTACTAGGGTAAAGAGAGAACTATTTAAAATGGTTATAGCCAATCTAGACATCTAGACACACCTGTAGTCTAGGAAATATGCGTTCCCACATTCTTTTCATGTGGGGATACTGCCAAAACCTGCACCAATATCTGTGTATTTTGAGAATTGTGTAGAAAATCACTGTGTTTTACTATTTAAAGGGACACTATAGGCACCCAGGCAACTTCAGCTCCTTGAAGTGGTCTGGGTGCACTGTCCCAGATCCCTTAACCCCAAAAAGGTAATTATTGCCGTTTTTAAGTAACTGCAATAATTACTTGTGGGTTAACTCCACCTCTGGGACTACTGTCCCTAAACACTGTATTGTAGCTGGTACAAATATAGCAGTCATAAGTGTAGACTGAATCTTGATATTCGCTAAGCACCAGAACAACCACCTGAGGGCAGAATGTATGTACCCCTGAACATCAATTAGAAATACTTAAATGTTATCATATCAGTAAGATTGCTGGGCTCTGTGGCATACATAAAACATTCAAATACCCCATGCCTTACCTTTTGGATTATTGGAGCCTTTGGAAATATCTTACAAACTTTGTGTTAACATAGCGTTGATTTTATAGTTTACCCACATCAGAAAGAAAGATGCTTATATTGATCAAAGTGGATAGATTCTTGAAAATGGCACATTTTGTACCACAGGCTAAACTACCCACGTCTCCAAAACAGTACGATATATTTGCCAAAGCGGTCTTTTGATTACATGGTATACCATTGGAAATAGTATAAGATATGGGTATCCAATTTGTTTCACAGTTCTTGAAGGCCTTTTGTTCCCAAATGGGTATCAAATAGAGTTTCTCTCCAGCCTATCACACCCAATCTAATGGTGCAGCAGAACACACTAATCAAATGTTGGAACAATATTTAAGATGTTTTATCTCTGCACATCAGGACAATTGGGTTATCTTGATTCCCTGGGCTGAATTTCCACATAACAATATGGTCTGTGAATCCACTCAACGGAGATCCTTGATTCTAAACCATGTTTTTATCCTATAGTTCTTCCCACAATGGTTCCTTCATAGAGAATGCTGTTGGTTGATGAACCCACATGCAGGGAGGTGTGACTAGAGCTATATAAACCAAGTGATTTAACCCCTATACACCAAAACTGCTTCATTAAGCTAAAGTTGTTTTGGTGACCATAATTTCCCTTTCTGAGCACAATAGCCACCACAGTCTGCTGTTGTAGTTATAATGCCAAAAGTGCCCTGGCACGCTCACAGAGTGATTAGTCAAACTGTTTAAGATTGATATGACATGCAACTTGGCCATTGGCTAAGGGCTCTCTGCTTCTACAGTACTTAGCTCATCGCAGAAGCTTTAAGAAACAGGGCCCAGGAGAGTAGTCAAACCATTCTTAAATGATTTGACTACTTACTCTAGAAGGGTTCCAGGTCACTCCTCTCCCCATAACCACTTTAGTGGGCTGTAGTAGTTACAGTAAATGCAGTTTTCCTTTAAAGATTATTATTATTATTTTTAACAAAACACCTTATGATGTTTTCACACATCTGGTAATTTACTTCACGATCTCCAATTTTCTTTGCTTGAATTAAGATATTTAAAATCTCAGCATTGCTTATTCTTCAGTGTTTTCAGGTGAACTACACCATTCAGTGCATCATTCATTATGTCATGTTGCTCAACAACTGGAAGCTGCAAAACATGTTTTTTTCCCATAGTATTTAATAAGAGTGTGTCTGCCCACTTACAGTAAATCTGAATTTAATACCTGTTTATACATTTGCACAGACATGTAAAATGTTGTTTCCCAAGATATTATTTCCATGACACAGCTTGATTTAAAAAAAAGTTAACTGCGAGACAGCTTCCATTGATTAAGTCCTAATCCTTTGTTTGTTAAATTTTTTTCATTGTATTATAATTTACTTTATTTCAATCATAACTTATTTTATTGTGTAAACTGTGGCTCAAAAGCACTGATAAATACAATGTTTAATGTATTTCTTTGCAGATTGTGACAATGTGACAATGTAGAGTATTAAAGGCCCAGTCACCACATTTTTATATCTGAGTATTTCATAAATAAAGTTGTTCAAAGCCTAAGTTGACAAGAGGCAGACCTTCCGTTGTTGAGTTAGAAACGGCTGTAGGAATCAAGCATTGTCTGTTCATCATAAGACTTGATTGGTGGAGACTCCCTTGGTCTCGTTGGATCCTCCATAAATATCGGTGTTACACTCTTGTGTATTAAGATACATACAGCAGTGGTGTGGTTCATGAAGCACAAGAAACTGATGAAATAAGATGGTGTTGTCTGCAAGCAATATCTTCTAAACATAACTTAATTCTGCTGCATCCAAGTGGGGGTGTGACCATCATGGGTCTTTACAAAATAAAGAAAAGGCCCTGAAGGTGACAGAGCTACATTTACAGTATTTACCTGTCCAGAATTGAAAGTAAATTTCAAATTTACAGCCAAGGTACTAGAATTGGAAGCACAGTTGATTTAGAGAATTTTTCCAGTTTTGCTATTTTGGGCTTAAATTTGAAATTCACTTCTGAGTACGGTTTTTAAAATCTTAGATTTTTGGTGGACCAGGATGCAAAGCCCAATGAAGCATGACATCCAAAACCACAATCTAGTTCATGTGCGCAATGAAGAATAGTGAAATCCCATTGTCTTGTTCCTTAAAGTATAAGTTAAAAGTAAATTCCTATTGTAAAAATAGCCATACTCAAACCATAGATGACTTGGAGAATTTTCCAGTTTGTCTGTTTTGGCTTTAAAATGTGAAACTCACTACTTAGAATTGCTTATAATTCACAATCTTAGTAAATAATCCTGCCAGACTTGTGTAGCATACATAAGGTTAACCAACCACTTAAGGGGTAAACTGACAACAACTTGGGCCCTTGGGAGATATTAGGTAATGTCTCCCCACACCCTATGAATCTCTTATCTTCTCACACATTCTCACAAACCTGAACTGCCTGTCTGATTACGTATTTAATTAGTTTTTAAGGATAACTCACTTGCAGAGCTGTACAGGTGAAGCCTCACATATAATGTAAAGATAAAATGGTACCAGGAATGCTTATAAGAGCACTGAAGCTTGGAAACTTGACAACACCAATAGAACACCTTTCAATATTTTAAACAACTTATTTCAGGGAGTACAGCTGGAAAATGGCCAAAGGCTATTCAGAACATTTTTTTTATTCTATACTTTGTCTCAGAAGACACAGGAGACATTTCAGAGGATATACATCTTAGCATGAACAATAAAGATACAGGGTTGCAAAAAAAAGAAAAAAAGAGTACAATGTATCAGGCATCAGAGAAAGTTATGCATAGATCACGTTGGTACAAGTGATTCAGTAGCTAGACAGCATTCAGGTAGCCCCGGGTAAGGGTGCTGTGTATAGTTGAGGTTGCTAGTGATATTTTTACATAAGCAGAATTCGAAGTACCAGCGTTAGCTTTTACTGTGTATATTATCATGCCAAGAGTAAAAGTGAGTTATATTCTATCCTGGTTTTCGAGGAATTTATGAGTAATAAGAGAATACCAATAGATGGGATGAGTAAAATGGATAGAGGAGGAGGTAAGAAAGAAAGTATAGAGAGGAAGGGGAGGGGGGGTGTACAATGGTCGTCGGTCAGCGCCTACCTGTGGGATATCCATGTGTCCTATAGATCGGAGGAGGGGGGCTACACATAGTTTTCCCATGGTTCCCACAGTTTGGTAAAGGTCTTCAGAGACCATTGTACTTGGGTCATTAGTTTATCCATGATTTATTGTTCTTTGATTTTAAGAATAACTGTGTTCATGGGAGGTTTAGTGGGTTTCAGTCAGTCTTGAGCCAGGGCCCTCCTGGCAGCTAGTGTAATTTTGTTAAAGAGTTTTTGTTCAGCCCTAGTTGAGTTGTCAAGTGGCCTAGCAAGCAAGAATGCCCATGGGTCCAGATCTATGTGGTTAGGGAGAATTTGGGATACGAGATTGTTGACCTCCTCCCAAAATTTAGAGACATTCGGGCAGCTCCACCATATATGTAAATAAGTTCCTCTAAGCCCGCAGTCTCTCCAACAGAGATCCGTGGGGGTCTGTTTTATGTGATATCATTTCTCTGGCATGATGTACCATCGAAACATAATTTTATAGGACTGTTTTTGCATTGTGACACAAATGGAGGTTTAAGATTTTGCTTCCCAGATATCCTGCCAGTCTACCCCTTCCAGGGTCTCCCCTAGCTCAGATTCCCATTTGTCTATGTAGTACAGGTAGGGATGTGCATTGGAAAAATATTCAGTTTGGTTTGACATTCCGAAATTCGGAACTTCGTCCCTTTGGCACTTCAGGACTTGGGGTTAGTGTAGGGTGAGGTTAGGGGTAGGGTTAGGGTTAGGCATAGGATTGGTTTAGAAGTAGGATTAGGTGTAGGGCTAGTGGTAGGGTTATGGTTGGGTAAGGGTAGGGCTACTCTACCCTAACCATACCCCTATCCCTACTCCAACCACTAACCCTACCTCAACCACTAACCCTACCCCTATCCCTACCCCAACCCTCTCCTGTTTTGCTACTTTTCAGAAATCTGAAGCACTTTGGCACTTCCGAAATTCGGCACTTTGGTTCGGTTCGGCATTCCGAAATTCAGCACTTCGGAAATTCAGCATCCGAATGTCCGAAATTCTTCAGAATTTGCATTCGGACGAATTATAATTGCACATTTCTAAGTAAAGGTCCCCCAGTCTTTGTCATTGGAGCATAGGTGGGAGCATGCCTTTTTGGTAGGTTTCAGCATTACATATTTGTTCACAAAATGTTGGTTGGGTGTGTGCTGTTGTTTTAACGGTTGGTCAGCTCTCAAAGTCACGAAGTTGGAGGTATCTTAAGAAATCTGCTCGGGTCAGGGTAGTTCTGCTTTGTAGTTCTGAAAATGTGATTATGGCTCCACTGTTGTATACCCTCTGCAGCCCCAGGTTTTCCATGCACTTAAAGTCTCTGGCCCTCATGCCCAGGATAAAGGCCATGGTATATGGGGATAGGTGGGGAAGGGGAGGAGATCAGTCCAAATTTACGTGCTGTTTTATCCCATGTCTGGATAGAGTTAGTCACTGATGGACAAGCTGTATGCAGGAGTGCTCTTTAGTCTCTGGGTGTCTAGATGGAGGGATTCCAGATCAACCCATCGCCTGCTATCAGGGGAGAGTGCCAGAGGGCTATTTGCATTAGTTGGGCCCAAGGTAGTAAAAGTGATGGTGGGGTAGTCCCAGTCCTCCTCTAGGTTTTGGTCTATAGAGTGTGTTGCAAGAGATTCTGTGTCTTTTATCATGCCAGATAAAGCGGCCTTTTGCTTTCTGGAGGGGGGCTAGGTCATGTTTTGTTATAGGAAGAAGTAGGGCTTGGAAGAGGAATAGTATGCGAGGGAGAATGTTCATGTTTATGGAGTGGATTTTGCCCATCCAGGATATAGGTTTGTCTACCCAGTTCTCCATGTCGGAGATCAGTGTGTTTATCATGGGTGTGTAGTTCAATCAATGCAGTGAGTGGGATCAGCTGGGAGGTTGATACTGAGGTAATAAATAAAGGTGTTTAAGGTTTGAATGTGATAGGAGCCTTCGATTTGTACTAAGTCTGCTGCCGACAGCGCGATGGGAAGAGCACTGGATTTACTCATGTTCACTTTGTAGCCCCATAAGAGATGAGGAGGGAAATTAAGGCTTGCATGGATGCTACCGGATTGGTTAATGTGAGTATCCTGATACCAGGAACTGTTGGTTCCTTATGGTTGCTCCTTGAATATGAGAATGTTCACGAATTGCCTGGAGTAGGGGTTCCAATGTCGATACGAACAACAAAGGGGACAAGGGAAATCCCTGTCGGGTGCAATTTCCAAGGGAGAAGGCCTGTGCGGGGGTGCCTGCAATATTCACTTGTGCTGTAGCATTGGTGTATAGGGCTTGTTTTGCCGTGATAAAGGGAAGTGGGAATCCAAGATGGCTTAGGAGTTCAATCATATAAGGCCATTTTGCGCGATCAGATGCTTTCTCAGCGTCGAGGGATAGTACTAATGAAGTAGATTTGCGAAGATGCGAGTTTCCAGATGACACCTATATTGCGGCGAGTATTCTCGAAAATCTGCCTTCCCGGTATAAACCCTACCTGGTCAGCGTGGATTAAGTGGGTGAGAAAGGGATTTAATCTTTCCGCAGGTGAAATAAAGGTAAACAATGCACACCATTGCATAGTGAGTCTGGTCTTAGACATTGCCAGACTGTGGGGGGTGCATGAACCTCCACTTCCCAGGGAGAAGTCTCCAGAAGGAAATAGAGATTCATGGACCAATACACCAGGAAGTTTCTCCTAAGTCTTAGATAAGTACATAGACAAAAAAACAACAACTGTATATTCACCACATAACCATTTGTTATGTTGCTCTAACAGTGGGGCTAAACTGTAATATCCGCTATACACAATCCTAGAAGACTAAAAAGGTGTGGTGAATCGGGATTATATTGTGGACCTCTGGTCCCAGTCCATGGTGTGGGGGGGGGAGGGGGATAGGAGAGGGTATTGGGAATGAGAGGGGGGAGGCGACTTAAGTTAAGGCTAAAAGCTTAGAGGGGGAGGGGGTGAGGAGAAGGGGGTGATGGAAGGGAGTGAGGGTAGGGAGAGTGGGGGTCGTGACCCCTTGGGGCTAGCTCACAGTACAGCTAAAGTCATCAGTGACTCCGTGGTGGAGGTCGGGTCTTGCCAGGTAATGGGAGGGGAAGTGGGGAAGGGGGTGTCCTTTGCTGGTCGAAGTATGGGAGTGTGGCCCTGTGTCGGATCAGGAAAGAGATGGGGAGAGATAGAGAAGCAGGCCCATTTCCCAGGATTGCCAAGGGAAGGAGAGTATCCCAGTGACAAACAGGGGGGTATCTCCATGTCTCGATACCTGCCGGTAGATGGTAGAGTGTCCACAAGAGCAGGATGATTCAAGACGGGTGAGGTCGTCAGTGTGAGGGACGAGTGTGTGTCAGGTCGGATCAGGTGGTCACTGTATACCAATTGCGTGGCAGGGTCGGCAGTGTGTTAGTCATCTTGGTTGGCAAGGTGAGTGTCGCCGGAGCCCTGATTGCTAAGTTCTGAAGGAGGCAGGATTGGTCCACGCCTAGTAGGAGAATGTTGGGCCTTCCGTTTTTGAAGACCATGAGCTTAAACAGGTGGCCCCATGCATACCATAAGTCGTTGGTACACAGAAGGTCCACGATGGGCTTCCCCTCTCTCCTCCTCTGCAGAGTGGAAGGGGCCAAATCCTAGTAGAAGGTAAGCTCCCGGCCTTTATACACGACAGGGCCTCGCAGCTCCGTCTCAGCACTGCCTCCCTGGTCTGGAAGTGCTGGAACGTTGCATGGCTGCGAGTTTTCTTCCCTCCTCGCCCAGAGAGCTCTCTGGGCTCGTTCCACTACCCAGCGGTCCGTTGGTATGTCGGGCAAAAGCAACCGCAGTATGGATTGGCAGTTTCAGGGCTGCTTTGGTAGACTCCCGCCAATGGTTTTGGTGGGTGACATGGTTGGCTACAGCATTATGCGCTGCAGAGGTGGTGTCAAGGTGCTGCTCCAGGGCTGCCGTCCTGGGAGTGTATCTCCGCCATTACAGCCTTGGAGTTCCACTCTCTCTCTCGGGCCAGGAAGGATTTGACTTCTGCCAGTTTTGCTAGGATCTGGGTTGTATCCTCCGTTAGGGCTCCTAAAAAGGAGAGTCAGTGTGGAAGTTGCCATCTTGCGCCTCATGGCGCGAAAACAAACAGGTCCGTTGCGCCCGCATCAGAGGTTTTATGGGGTGGTTTTCTAGAATTGCATCTATCCATGGTCCCCCAAGATCAGGTAACCCATTGTGTATTCGCTGATTATTGTGCTTAAGTAAGCTGTTTACCAGGAGGCCGGTGCGAAACTCTAAGCTAGCACATCCAGTTTGGTTCCCAGTCAAGCCACGCCCCCATTATACAGACATTTTTTGTTGATTTTACAACCTACAGATGCAAAAAAAAATTAATTGAGAAAAA